CTATAAATTAGAAACAATGAAGAATTCTGAGAAAAGCAATAGAAATATGTAAGACCAGTTTTAATCTCAAAGTCGAAACTGGTCTTAAAGAAAATTTGCTCTTACAAGTGTTTAGAAGCGAATGGTATATTTTCTAATTTTGAGAACTATGAAAAGACCTGAAAAAAAGATATGTAAAAGTTCTTGCATATTCTTTCAATTTGTCTGAGAACCAGTCATCATTCAGAAGAATTGAAATTGTTAAGTTTCGATTAATGTGATGAAACAGATGAATTTTTCAATCTTACTCTAATAATCTGAACAAAGTAAGGTTCCCGCAACTCAAAACTCGAGCGATTATTTTTTCAACTTTTTTTGTACATGTTTCGATAGATTGCAAGCAGATGATCATGAAAGACATTCTTTAGATCCGAAAAATACAAAAAATCAAGTAAATCATTTTTTGAAAAAAATCGACGAAACTTTGTATTTTACTATTTTTTTCAACTAATGAAACTTCTTTTTGGTATAGAGCGTCAAAAACTAATGAGAAAACATATCTAAGTGTAGAACGTCATTCAAGCCCAGATTTTGACTATAAGTAGGACTCAGTTAGGGTGTGGGTGGGTGTGGGCGTGGATGTGAGTGAGGGTGAATGTACTCATCATACCGACAGCCATACCCACCTCCACATCCACACCCACACACGCATCTCAGTGAAAAAAAAACGCATACAAATGCAGTTTTAGAAGCGCGTTTTAGTCGATACATATCCGTTTCTATCACTAAAAAGATGCGTTTCAAAAACTGCGTTTAAAGTCTAGCGAAAATATGCGAACTAGAAAAAAACCGCGTTGAAACGCAAATTTTTTTTCGTGCGCAGCCTTATACATTTTAATAATTTTCATTATTATGAATTTTATTGAGATATTTTTAATAAAAAGTAAATAATAATGATGTAGAACGATGAAAAAAATAATTTTTCATCAGAGCATTAACTTTAGAGTTGTGATATTTATTTTCTATTTTTGTTAATATGATCGTATTTATTATTTGCTATCGACTTATGATAACAAAAAATTTTCTTTACAAATCAGTCGTTATTTATATAATTTATTCATTTTATTTCAACTTTCATCATGAATTTCTCTATGTAAATGTGGAAAAAATTTCAAATGAACACTTGTTAGCTCGATCCATGGTTCAACAATTTGAAGTGTTTCCACTTTTGAACAATTATTTCTAGCTTGTTGATTATTTTGTTCGATTATTGTTGATAATGCATTATTACGAATGACGAGTTCGATTAGACATGGAAGGTAGCTTCGACAAAGAAGTTGTTCAGCATAATCAACATGTATATCATGTAAAATAAGTACGGACAAATGATGGAATTCAATAATCATATTTGTTGTCTTGCTTTTTTCCTCTTGTTCTATTTGATTAAATACTTCGAGTGTTTTCAGATGAGGTAAAGCTCGAGAAAGACGTTCAAAGAAAATATTTTCAAAAGATTTAATATCATCGAAAAGTAATAAGATAGTGATATTTGAAAAACTATTTTTATCATCGAAAAGTGGAAATCGATTCGAAATAAAATCAAGACGAGTACCAATAAATGGAAGTGAATATATTTGACATTGACCATATTCATTATTGAAGTAATCAAGTGCACAGTCAATAGATTGTTCTTGTTTGACAAAAGTCTGACGAATTGTATCTAATTCTATATAAGGAGCATGTCGAACTATTGAACGAATGTGAAAATCCAACTGACGTAAATGAGGCATATATGAAATAATGTCTCTTTGTAAATGGGATCCATCAATAAAATGATCTGGTCCAATATCTGTTACACCAATGGCTAATAATAATATTAAATGTTCAATATTTGTTAAATGTTGTAGAAGAGGAATAATACACCGCTCATAATGAAAAATATTCCGATAAATAGTCATTGTCAAATGTTTTAATTTAAAACAGGATATCTGAAACAAATAAATCATTTCAAATACTAAATCTAAAAAAAAAAATTTACCGATTTTATTTGAGATAAAATATCTTCATCTTTTTTAATAACATGTATAATACTCACAGCGAATGAACACAGTTGTGAGCCTAATTGATTGAGTAAACGGAGACAATCATCAAATTTCCGTAGTGTTACTCGAACATGTGTCAGATGAGGTGATCGAGGAAAGAGTGATCCTTTATCAATAGATGGTACTAATAAGGCACAATCATCGTCATATTCAAAATTGACAATCGAATGCATAATTAATGAATTATGAAAAAATGATAAAAGTACATTAGTAATTGAATCAGAAGGATAGAAAAATTGTGGAACAATTGAGAATAATGGATAATGTCTTAACTGATTATCATAATAATAACCTAAACATATCCAAAGATCAATAGATAGAACTTATTTCAAATCAGAAAGAATATCAGTAAGACGAAGAGATAATATTCATCACATAAATGAACTATATTTATATATTTAACTTGAAAAATTATAATTGAATATAACTTACTGGTTGTATAAGGTGTTCCTGTATTCTTATAAAGATGACCCGTCATTATTTTCAAATGTGATAATTTTGAAAGATTTTCATGATGAATTTCTCTACTAATGTGATCAAGATATGATAAATGTCTAAGATTGATTGTTATTGATTGAATATTATTCAAAATTCGAGGCATGACATCTAATAAGAAACGTATCATATGTTCCTCATAAGGGAAACCAGAATAATAGAATGATAAATCAATCGAATAACATTTATCAAGTGCAAGTCGTTCCAATCGATTATTTCCAATACCAATAATAGAAGCAAGTAATAGCACTTGAGGGTTTATTTTATTTATAATAGCTAAGATCAATTCATCTGGTAAGTCAAGTAATTGAATAGAATTTTCTATATATAAGAGAACAAATGAAATGCGATATTATTAAATAGATACATACGTCTATTTGATAACGAGTTCATGATTCGTATAATGTATAATACACCCACCCGAATGACATATGAATATGTTTATATATATATATTTACAAACATTCTCGCTTAACAAGCATTGTCTAAAATGGAACCAATCATCAATCCATATCAAAACAATGAATAGTTCATTTTGAAAAAAATCTTTTAGTACACATATATGGAGGAGGTGAACATGCCAATCATGATGGAACAATAGGATGTGTTGATAGTGCATTTAAAAGTGGTAATTGTGAAGCTAAATATATTTATGAAAAATTAACTTCGGTTTTTAATTAATATGATTTGTTATTTGATCATGTTATATTTTTCATGAATGAAAAACTAAAATTTTGCAGATACAGGTCACATCTATTATTTTGTAATAGACGAATCTGGTGTTAACTTTACTTACGTCAAAATTCGACTGATTTTTTAATTTTTCTTTCTATTTTTATTATTTTTTCTATCATATCTGACTGATACACAATATTAATGAAATTAAACCTTTGAAGACCGATTTTTTTAATCGTAAAAACATTTTTCAACCTTCCTACTTTATTTTAACTCAAAATGGCTACATAAAAATCTTATGATAATTGAAAAAATTTTTTTATCTTTTAAAATGTCTTCAGTGAGCTTCTAAAGAGTGAAACTGGAGTTCAGTCTTTGTGAGAGAGTAAGGTAAAACCACTATCTGTGATACAACTTTCATTCATTGAATTCAGCTTCTTTGCATATGCATCCGAACCTTTATCAGAAAGTTCAAGTTCATCTGAGTTATCGACTAGTTCATCGTAATCGAAATCGAAGTCACTCTCGCTGCTATCATCACTGCTATATGAATCCTAGGACTCATTATCGACTTCACTATTCCCATAGAATTCCATTTGTTAGGTTTGAATTATAAAACCAGTAAAAGAAATGAAAAGTACAAGTATAAAAGAGAAATGATGTGCCTTGCAAATTCAAGAGCAACATAAATTCGTCAATGAGAATGAGAATATTTTCGAAAAATAAAGGATCAGAGGAGAAGAGAGAAATCATGACGTCACTGTACCTTAGCAGTAAGAACAAACGATACTTGAAAAGAGTTTATATGAGAGAAGGAAAAAAAGAAAAGTATAAGATGACAAATACGGTTGCCTATGACCTTAACGAACTAGCGTATTTAATAGTTTAATGTGAACTAAACACTTTTTTCTCTACTGAAAAATAGGTGGGACAACGTATGTCCCACGGTCCTCAAAGGGTTACCTTAGATTTAAGCTTTTACTGGAAAGACAATATAATATTAATCTTTGCTCGGAATTCGGCAAAGAAGATGAAATATCGACATCTGAACAGGGATGTGACGAAGAAAAAAAGTTGGGGGAGGTGCAAGAGAAATTTTTCCACAAGGTGGAGGGCTGCATAAATAATTCTTCGAAAGTAGAGTGGTGCAGAATTTTCTTTCATTCGATGATCTTTTTTTTCGATAAGAAAATCGATTTTTGCTGGAAAAAAAATGAAATTTTTCTCAAAGTGGAGGTGCGCACCGCCGGCATCTCATGGTCGCCACATCTCTGCATCTGATCTGAAAACAATAGCAATAGTTGATGAATCTAGTAGTTCTAGTTAAACAAATCATCCACAATTATCAAACAAGAAAGCTTCATCAACAAAGTCGAAACTATATTGTAATTTCGATAAGAAATAAGCGAAGGATACAAAATTTGCACCGCTTTTTCAGAAATATAAAATTAACCCATATCTTCAGTATAATTCTACTTGTATATCAAATTTCTTGATTACTTATGCAGGTATATATCCGACTAATAAACATCTCGAATAAGCTGTCCAATCAGAATAAATCGATGAAAACACGTGTGTTTACTTGTTAAAGTGTGCGCTTTTTACGATGTCAAAAAATTATATTTTGGATGAAAAGAGAGTTTGAAGAAGATAACGCCCATAAATTTGCTTTGATCTAAAAAGAAAATTTTTTTCGTGTAAAAAGCGCACGTTTTAACATGTTTTTGCGCGTTAAAATGAGACTTTCTCTATCTCACTTGTGATAAACAATCGAAGTTGAAGCTAAAGAAAAATGTATTGTTCTCACAGTACAATTGTTTTTAAAGTTATGATTTATTTGCGAAAGTCGTTCTTGTTAAAAAAAAATGAGCAACAAAAGTTAATCTATAACAGAGGAAA